TCAAACAATTTTTGTGATAACTATCAATATATAGTTATTTTGTAGATTCTTTCGAAAGAGAGTTTGTTTATGAACGATTCTTTTGAGAAATATCTAATTGGGCAATGTTGACTGTTAAAAATTATGATGAAAATGTTAGATTTACTCTGAAGATTGAGATGAATATTTTCACTCAATGACAGGTAAAGTGTTTAATGGCAGGTTTGGCAAGCAGAAGTTAAATGTACAGAGCATTTGCTACTTCTCGTATGCATACTGTGTCACATCTTGTTGAATAAAACAAAACTGTGTGTCTAAGATGTATTTTTTTCTTGTATCTTTCAATCTTTCATTCACTGTATTAAGAAAACAAATGTAAGTATATGAAAACACTTTGCTTTTGATTTCCATTACAAATACTGAATAGAAAGAAGAGCACCGAAATAGCAAAGCCTCCGACACATTAGAAGTCGCCCTGTCAATAGCTGATTTTCTAGTTTTTCCATCCTGCTTATACTTTTTTCTATTTTGGACTTTTGATTTAAAAATAACTTTTTGCTCTTTCTCAAGTTGGATACACTTTGTACATTAATATTATAAAATGTAATTAATGGACGTATGTATACGGCATGTAAAAATCAATGTTTGTTATAACCGAGTTCGGTTAGTTTTTATCAGAGATATCCCTCGCGGTTGAAAACCTGCCACTGTCGCGCCGTGGCCTCAAAATAAAGAAAAGCTACCGCACCGCTGCCACAATGATTTTCAAAACACTGTATTGAATTTCACTGCTGTGACTGTATTTAACCAGAAATATTGGTACGTGCCCATTAGAATCATTCAGTCGCAAGCTATTTCGTTTGAAAAAAATAGAAATTCTATAAATTTACAGTTCTAAAATGTCCTCCAAAAATAATGCTGTCGCTGCCGCGATGACTTTTTTAAAAATCTGCCGCTACCACCGTCGTGGTAGCGGCGTGGCGGCGGTAGCGGCAGCGCCACCATGGACATCTCTGGTTTTTATTCACTGTCTTTTCTTTGTACGAATAGTCAACTATATGATTGTTTTCATAACTGAATAGGCATAAAACATTTCTCATAGATTATGATCTAGATACAAATTCTCATGTACTATTATTAAATATCGGTCATGATGAAATAGATCAAAAATCTGATTCAAACTGAGATGAACACATTACAATTTCGATAATCAACAGTAGACCTATCGTTATCGGTAGATCAGTCATTGCCGATATGTCTTATTGAGTTTGCTCTTGATATCTCATAGAGGATATGTACTGAAGCTTCGTTGAACATTGACTATGCCAGATATCATTATCCACAGATGGAATAGTACCACAAGTCGTCAATCCAGTGTCGGTATGGATTTTAGATCGACCAGTGCTGATTGTGAAAAAGCCGAACCTGTTCCATTTTCATGGTGCTTCTTGAAATTATTTTACCAGGTTTATTTTTTATGGCTTTTTACTACGAACAAGAACGTTTTACTATGAAAATGATTTCTAGTTTTTCGAGGTTAGGATTTCTACAAAAATCCAAAGCCCGAGCCTTTCCAGTTCGTAGAGTTTGCAACTACAATTCTGTTTGAATTCTTCAGAATGATGAAGAAAATAAATTTCTATAAAAGGACACGCCGTTGGGCTCTCTGTGACATTCTTTGAATAAGGTACATCATTTTTCTGAAGGCACAAAAATGATGTTACCATACGGAATAATAGAAAAAATCGACTGCTTTGTCTGTAGTAGGGTCTATGTATCTTGATTAAAAGCATCATAGAGAGTTAGAAGACGTTTCATTTCGTAGAGAATAGTTTACTCTAAATCATTCTGGATGATTCAAACAGGTCGAGTATATGATTACTTTTGTATGTTGGCGAACTATAAGACTTGATCTTCTTCAGAATGACTTGATTGCTCGTGCTTGAATTGTAACAAACTTATATCTACATATGGTTTTTCTTTTATTGAAATGTTCACCACTTAAGGAGTAGATGAATTATAAATTGTGAGCTCATCATATGACCAAAAACAATGTAGTGAAAAGTTTGCGTGTCTACCTTTGAAGACCTTTTGTTTTTCTCAAATTACACCTATTATTTAGGGTAGTATCTACTTATTTCTGATATTATATTCTAATCGCTAATTGTCGCTTAAACATGCTAATTATTTATATATATGTAGAGCAATCCACTAGATGCACCATTTTAACTTAAATACTTCTTGACTTTTTGGACCGAGTCAGAAGAAAAAAGACTTAACTTGCTTCTATGTGATCACTATATATATATATATTCTAATTACAGTACCCGACAAAAGTATCCACCCTCAGATCTTAGTTTTTATAAGAGCGAAACGTCTGCAAGTTGGTCTATAGGTAGTCCACAGAGAATGTAGATCTGCAGTACCATCACACAGTGGGGAGCCAGGCGGACATATGCGAAAATTTTCTTTCCCAGA